ACGGCAATATCTTCAAAATCTGAAATCGGTAGGCCTACCAAAGTTTCTAGTAAGTTGAGTCATTCTGTTTGGCATGCTATGAAGCGGAGGTCTGGATACATGTCTTGCAGATCTGTTCCCAACTAGCAAATTTCACCGACGTGTTAGGTCACTTGTGATATTACTCTTTTGTTCAATGACGTAGAGACCGCGAACCACGATACCTCTACGTTTTCAATAAGGATGAAGTCTGAGGAATACGCTAGCCGACTTGCCAATCAAAGCCGTTGCGTTTAGCATTTTTCCAAATGGAATGGTGTCAGGGACCTCCCCTGCAAAACAAGTGATTTGCAACCATGACTTTTCGAAAAAGGTTGTAGCCGGGACTCAAGCACCTCATTATAATCCTAGTCGTCTACCTGACATGTTGGCAAGCCAAACTTCAATGTCCCCCTCCTTTTGGAACCACCCCAGACCTTTGATGAACATCTTCCGAATTGTCTCTTCGAGCACATCTGCGGGTCCGACCAAAGTCTCTCCAAAAACCTCAAGACCCACCCGAATAGTGAGGAATAAGCTTCTTTCTGCCAGTCGAGTTGGTCTATGAAAGAAATTTCCACAGAAAATCTTTTATACTAATTTTACATTTCCACGAGATCGCGCGAAAGCGATGATGCTCTGCTGCTAAGGTTAGTTCGACAGATATCAGTGTTGTCGATCCTTTTTTTTGAGCAAGAAACAGACCAAAGGCGGGAAAAAGGATCTAAAAACAGCACGACCTGAGGGAACAGTCGCAGAAAGTTTGTGGGAATCCAACCTTGCCAACTCCTCAGACCGGAAGATTCATATACAGGTTGTCTTTGTCTTCTTTCCTGTCGTGTGCCTAATTGAGTGAATGAAACCACCGATTGCGGTCGGTTTTTAAGAGTCGCGGAAGATCATAATAGCGTCGAAAGAATTCGAATGGGTACCGATACAGAAAATGGAACTTAATTTGAGAAAATTAGGCTAGTCTTCTACCTGTTTTTTGAGCAAGTAGGCGATTTGAGAACAATCTTCAGTGCATTGGTCGTGAGAATAAGTGGAGAGACTTGTCAGGCATTGGAGCGGCGACTTCGTGGAGTCTCGGTCCAAACATTCGAGGACACGTAATGACTGTGTTTGAGCTGTGCTAAGTCGCTAGTAGGAAGATTTCAGAAGCATGGGGGGTGAGATGCAAATTGTCGTCTCGATCCGGAGGTGGCTAAATCTGGTTTCAGAAAAACGCTTGCCCCTGTGAGGGAATGAGTGCCGAATATCAGTAACCGAAAGGAGAGAAGGGGTGAAGCCCCCACATTGTCCGGAACTTGAAGGCAATGCTAACCAGCACGTCTGTAATACAAATTCTGATAGCGCTAATGGCAGGGTTCTTGCAAGGAAGGTAAGAGAATTCAACAAATCTCTATGATTTATGAAGATTTGGTTATTTGTTGAATTTGTTTGATAATATTGTTTTCAGAGTAGTGTGGTCCATTTCAAGCAGTGCGCTCCTCCCTGTAGGCCCGTGTCGCTTGTTCGGTCCCATGACATGTTTGGTCACCAGCAACGTCATTAACGCGCTCACTTTGTATGTAGATAGTTATACTGGTAAGTTCACTTGCTCCCATTTTTTCTCATTCTACTTCCATTCAGATGCATTTTTAGGCAACTGATTATAAGAATACTAACGTAGAAAAGGAAACTATTGAACTCATAGCGCGGATTTTGAAACAAATCCCGCATTCTCCCGTAGAGTGGTAAAGCTAGTATACAGTCACTATAAATGGCGCGCTATTTCCACACATCTTTAGGATTGTCATATTTTGTCATTTGGATGCAAGTCAGAAGAAATGTACCTAAACAAACACCTAGCTCGAAGCTAGTGACTGCAGTCTTGAAGGCCGACCCACACCTAGTAGCATGAGCTACTACATTCTGGTAGTGAACCTTGGGGCTCAGTGGCTTAATAGACTTTATCTAGCTAAGCGTTGAGGATTGAATGCGGTTTTTCCCTTCTCTGTATAATAGGAATATGAATAACACTTCAAGGGTGCTCACCTAGGAATCGTTGAAAAGGTGGGTAAAAGTAGAAGGAGGAATAGGGGACTAATCAGTCTGTGGAATGTCAAGAAAACTGTAGGTCTAATATTGAACGTTGAAGAAGGAAGTTGTTGGAAAAATTGGATGTTTGACTTTACTGCGGAATTGCCAATTTACTACAACAGGGGGCTTTCATCACATTGTCGAAAGCATCATAGTGTCGCTACACAGCTCTGCTGGAAAGCAATCTGTGGGCTTGGTTCTCCGTCGTCACCACTTCACGTCTCGATTCGCCGTACGTCCAGGGAGTGGGTCTTAGTAATGAAGATGCACGTAGGCCAGGCTATCAATTCATCGTGGAGCTGGAACAGTGAGACGTTAAATCATGACGTAGTCCCGGGTATTGCGATTCGTAGTGGGTCATAGTGTACGTCCAGTTGGGGCTGCTCAGGCCTACTAGGAGTCCGCTTGGCATAGTGGCGAGCAGCGAGCGCGGCGTAAGTCCCTGCTAGTAATCCTCACGCCGACATGTACGCCACTCTTGAGCAGGGTTGACTCCGATACTCCTCCGCTTATGCGAGGAGCAAGGCGTCCATGCCGGCGCGACAACCAGTTACGTTCAAGTTCATGTCTTATCAGTAGCACGAGTTTTGTCTGTTCATGGAGTGCTTTGTATTTAATGAGGCAAATAAGTAAA